TGGACAAAGACAACTTTTGGTCGATTTGTTGAACTTCCCGAGCGCTTAATGTCCAACAGAGTCTCCAGTAACACAGTGATGGTGAGATTTGAGTCGTGCGGGTACTTGCAGATATCAAGAAACGCATAGGCTTGTTGTTTCGGACTAACTAGTACACCTGTCAGGTGTGCTTTAAGTTTCCAGATACCTTTGTCCACCTGATGACAAAAAGTAACAATGAGATATAATTATGGCAAAACATCCTATCTCAATTGATGTTCACACCTTGTAACATCAGCCAAATCAAGATGTATGTGGGGGTAGAGCTGTGTTTGCTATGCTGATTTTTGTCAGGAAAGAACGAAGCAGTCGGTCATGTTCGCGCTGTACAACTCAAGCATCTGTCAACTTTTTAAGCAATTAAGACCTCAGTATTATTCAACATTCGAGTATAGTATTCAATAAATGTGCAAGCATCGTTGATTTTACCCTTGTACTTGTTGCAAAATGAGGCAAGTTAGGCTTTGCCTGGTCTATCCAATCGATGATTAGTGACAGTTATTTCCTTATTTCCGGGGATTCACCTTTGCCTTGATTCCGTGCCTATAGTACTTGTTGCCCTCACTCCTAGAGAAAACATAACAATAATTTAATATAAGAGTAGCATTAAAATATTCAAACCTCGTCGAGATTTTAATTCACAAGGTGTGGAATGGACTGTTGGTGTTGTCATCAATGCTAAACAGTTTTAGTTTTCCTGTGAAGCATACTTAGGACTTTGTGCCACTTGTAAATGAGTGTATAATGATAACTTACATCTGCTGAGTAAGGTGAAGTTGCCTCATCATCTTATTGCTCTCTTTTTTCTTGAACTTATGGTTTACTTAGTTCCACTTTTAATGGCACGCAAATGCTGTACGTTGTAAAGCGACTTTATTGCAAAGCAAGGAAGTCAAACAATTTTGCAAATCGTTTTATTCTGAACAAGACAACGGTACCGTAATCAATTAAAGATGAATGTCATTTTAGTGGCTTTGATCATTGACAATTATCCATACCTTTGGGAAGTAGACATCTGGAAAGTTCAGTTTCCACATTTTGCACAAGAAATGCACTTTTGAAACTGTGGAGTTGTCTTCCACTTCTTCCTTGTAAACCATATACACTGTATTCTTAGTTAAGTATGACGGCAGTGGCCTAGATGATGTGTTAGGCAATTGGTCTGCATTTTTTGAGAAACCCCAAAGCACTCCAACGCCGTGTTAAAGGCCACCGATTTCCTCCTTTTTGGGGGTGTTTCGGTACACCGGCTTCCTTCCTTCAATCGCTCACAGTAACTGAAAGAAATGAAAAAAACATTGAAAACCAGCCTCAGCTGATGCATTTTTCAATGATGAATATAATGTCAAAACAGATATGCTCATGACAGTTTAAAGATCAATCAGCCATGTTGGGTCTTTCGGAACAATACTGGGAAAAAAATTGTTTCAGTTCTTNTTTCCTCTTTCTGATACACCCCTCCGTAATCTCTATCTCAATTTTGATACTTTCTGGTGACCAGCCGTATATAATGTAAGCCTATACGAGTACAGCTACTGACATTATTTCAAAACTGAACTGCTAGACTAAATACTTCAAACGTGAACTATTACTTAAAGCGCGTTTTTTACAGATGCCTGGTCTTCCTCGCAATCAACGATTCCATCTATCGAGAAAATAAATTCTCTTTCATTTATTTTATTTTCATTTTTATTTCAATTTATTGATCATATTGTTTTGGTCTTCGAGATCATCACTTTTCACTTGTTCACGAAGATCTCCAAGCGCATTCTCTTCTGGTCGGGGACCGCTGGACTTTTAAACTGGACGGCTGTACTTCTCTATTTCGAGGATAGCAGGCTCCAGTTGACGAGTACTTTGAATGGTTTCACGCTTGACAGCTGAACAGAAAGGAGAGAAGAGCTTAGTGTATTGAATCAACTGGTTACCATGCCTCTCTGTCATGAGTAAATGGAAATACAAATGCTAGCACGGTAATGAGGATTCGGCATTCAAACCTAACCTGATCATGAAGTAAAAAAAAAAAACACCAAACGCTACTTAGCAGAAAGGATGATATTGCTGTGCTGAGCAAAGTAACAAAGCTAACAACAACAAAGAGTAATTTATCACATTATTTCAATTTAGCAGATTCCCTTTGAATGGTAAATATTTGTTTGAATTCCAAGATTCACGAAATTAAATGAACTAATTTGCCGTTGATATCAGCACAAATATGGTTAATATCATTTTGCGAAAAAAGATTTGTTTACCTCGTCTGTTTCGCAACATTAATCTTCTTTCAGCCTTTTAGAAGTCTCTTCTTCCTGACAGGGGAAACTGTCATCTTCGAGTCTTCTCTTTTTTGTATGACCTACGGGAAGCGCGATCATAACATGGTAGTAAAACACTTTTTTCATAATGGTTCCTTTTTTTTCGTTTAAGGCTCAATCAATGACTTGGTCAATAAAGCAACGCGCATGTCCCTGTACTTGATATCAATGACATTTTCCGCGTATGGTGAAAGTTCAAAGGTTCCCGCGCTTGATGCAGATTTCTGGTCGCCAACGCCTCCTGAGAAGGAAAAATGTGGTCTCCATGTTCAATCCCAACCGCGTTCTCCAGGGTCTCTCATCTCCCCCCCTCCCCCCCACTGGAGCGAGGGAAGAGATACCCTGGTTTAGGCTGGTCACGTCTCTCTGAGATTTTAGGAAATTAAAAATTAGCGGTCTGAGGGAGGGGCAGATAAGTGGCAAAATCTCTCCACTTAGTCCACTGGCGAGCGTAGATTGTCGGCAATCAAATCAAACTACACGTGAAGCGCTTCGAACCGAATGATGTCAATTGAGAATATTCAGCAGACGTCCAGAAAGATCAGTGAACGTTGCCCTACATTCCCTTTTGCATAAATACTCTTCGCTCGAAGAGTATTTATGCAAAAGGACATCGCGCATTGCTGAGGACATCTACGCGCATGCGATTACGCGTATTTGCTCGTTTTCCTTTCTTTACATAATCTAAACAAGGTTTTAACTTCTGCTCAGGCCGATTGCTTAGACTGTTCTTGATGGTCCTAAGCTCAGCCTGAGCTCCTTGATCAGAATTCAAGATCGCCCACTGGCTTTCTTAGCCTGTTACCATCTATCCATATCCTTTCTTCTAAAATTTATCTCCGCCCTGTTTCAAACTCTGGAAAAGGTGAAAGGACGCTTAATGTGGATACCACTGACTGGTTTAGCATTGCTTAAGATAGCCACAGGTAGCCCAAACTCACAGTATTTTTT